AACATCATATGTGAATTGAAAATCAATGTACCTGATAGAGATAAGCTGAGGTGATACCTGAGTAGTATCACCACATACACGTATTTATCAAAAAAACTTTAACTTTGATCATAATATAAATGCAAACATATATGCAAACTTTTAACAACTATAAAATAACATTTATTAGCATCAATTATTTTTAATGTAACAAAGAATGCAGACTAGTTAGGTCAATCAGTATATATTTATCTAAGGTAGTGAAAAAGAATAAACCATTTAAAAACAAAATTAAAAATTTCTAATGAATATATATTTAGATACCTTAAAATGAAGCATAACACAACACTCTTTGACAAATTCCAGAGCAAACTTTTAAAATTTTTCTATTCCTTATTATATTATTCCTTATATCGATAAAATACATATTAAATGCCACATTCAACTAATGTAATTAATACCTTTATTAGATCTCTCTTGATTAACTAAAGAATTTAAATTTTAAATAAACTCTAACTAAATTTTAACAAACAAACAACCAAAATAAATCTTCATATTAATAGTACGTTATTAAGTTGATTAATAGATCAAACAATTTAATCTACTCTAATAATCTACTACCTTATTAATAAACTTTAATTTTTTTTCTACGACTCAGTGTAACTATAATATAGATATTTTTAAAGTAAAAAAGAATTTAATATTATAATATATATGATTTTTAAAACCTGAAATTTTAAATCTACCTCGAAGAAAACAGATATATATTGAAAAGTATTTTTATTTTTTTTTAAAAATTTAAAATTGCTTTATAACTTACTTGTTTTGATATTATCACCAACGTCTAAATAGAAAAACAAACAAACATTCAAGTCGACTCATCCTTAAATCTTATAATATATATGATTTAAAAAACCTGAAATTTTAAATCTACCTTGAAGAAAACAGATATATAATAAAAAGTATTTTTATTTCTTTTTAAAAATTTAAAAATGCTTTATAACTTACTTGTTTCATATTATTACCAACGTCTAAATAGAAAAACAAAGATATATGAGTTATATATATGATTTTAAAATATATATGATTTTAAAAACTGAAACTTTAAATCTACCTCAAAGAAAACAGAAATATATTGAAAAGTATTTTTATTTCTTTTTAAAAATTTAAAAATGCTTTTTAACTTACTTGCTTCAATATTGTCATCATCTAAATAGAAAAACAAACAAACATTTAAGTCGACTCCTTCTTAAATCTAGTTTAATTTCTTCAATAATAAAAAAAATTTAATCTTTGAGGATAAATTCATTTACAAAAATCCGTTTAAGTTCGTTTAAACCATTTTAACATTGTAAAGTTAATTTACAATGTTAAGTTAAGTTAATGCTACCTCAAAGAAAACAGATATATATTGAAAAGTATTCTTATTTCTTTTTAAAAATTTAAAAAGGCTTCTAAACTTACTCCCTCCAATATAATTATATAATATATATATAGTATATATGATAAATAAACCTCCACAATTTCCTTGGTTTAACAACTCGATTATGATTAATAACAACTCTGTAAACATGAATTTTCTAATAACCTAAATAAATTACAGATAGACAAACATAAACTAACACAATTAAATCCTAAACCAAAATTCATTCATGCAAGACAAATAATTTTATATTTATTGAAGAGCCAGAAACATTTTTTTTTTCAAAGAGCAAAAGTATTAACAATATTAAAGACAAATTTTATTTATAACAAAATTTTCAATAAAAACTAAATTAAGATAAATTTATAACAAAATGTTGTCATGGCTTTTATCCCAATAACCAAAACTAAGTGAAAGCATGAAACTACCCATAAATATATTTTAACGCTAGACACAATTTAAGAATTAAAGTAATCTATAACACGAAGCTTTAAATTTAAAATTACAATTTAAAAAAGATTACAATAAATTAATTACTTTTAAATTTAAAAAAAAATTAGATTACCTATAATTTTAGGCTACTAAACATTATCTACTTAATGTCAACTTAGACATTTTGAACTCGTACCATGAAAGGTTGAAGGGAAATCTGTAAGTAAGCACGCGGTAAAGAAAAGTCTAGAAACTACTTAAAAAGTGTATTTTACAGATACAGAACCGTACCGTAACTATAAAACAATACGCGTAACTATGCGCACTATTAATAATATTCATAGGCTATTCATTATAGGCGGATTACAATAACCTTCTAATCAACAATCAATTTGGCTTCAAAAAAGATCAACTGAGCAAACTTTTATACAAGTTTACGTAACATCTTTAAATGATTTGAAAAAGCTCAGTAGACAATAGATGACGTTCAAATAATGGATTCTTAAATGTAACATGTGGTGTTCCACAAGCTTCTATTATTTATTTAACTTTTTCTAATCCCACACTAATGTTTACAAACTTTTCTCAACAAGTAATAATGAACTTATAAACACTTCTAAATGGTTTAAATGTAATAAATTACCGTTAAATACTAACAAGACTAAATACAACCATTTTGCATTTCATCTCAAAAAGACGTTCATTGCCAGATATTATGCCTCAAATTTCTATTGTGAAAACTGTAATAAAAAGAGATTCTATTATAAGATTCCTGGGTTTATCTTGATGAGAATATTACTTAGCAAGACTTAGTAATCATTTAGGCAATATTGATATTTATCGGGTTTTATACAAAGTACTGATATTTTGTATAAACCGTTTATACAAAAACGTAATCGTAATCCGTTCGTAATCGTAAACGTAATCGTAATCGTAATCGTAAATCGTAATCGTAATCGTAATCGTAAATCGTAATCGTAAATCGTAATCGTAAACGTAATCGTAAACCGTTTATACAAAATACTGATATTTTGTATAAAAGCCGATCTTACTTATACAAAACAAGCCTTACACAGCTTTAACTACTTATTATAACATAACTAAGTAAATCACGCAATATTGCATGGGGTAGTGCCAAGAAAGTGTAAATTTAAATGTCTTTATCGGCGACAGAAACATGCAGTTCGCGTTACTAATCATGCGGATCGTTCTATACATTTAAAACCATTCTTTGATGAAATAAAAATACTTAAGTTTTACTAACTTAACGTCTACAGTATTTTATGTTCTACTTACATGTGAAAAGACAGCTTATCCGTATCTATTTTTAACGACCTAATTACATTGAAACTTACTAATAATAACTCACTAGAAATAAAATATTTGTTAAATGAACCATTTTGTAGAATAAAATCTAATGAATTTTGTATTAATTATGAAGTACCCTACCTTTGGAATAAAATAGTTCTGCCTAATTTTGATTCTTTTTTTCCTTTTTTCTGTTATTAAAAATGAATTTTAAAAGTTTTATTCTTCCTATGAATGACATATTAAGTTATTATTAATTTGAAACTTGATTTATTAGATTTGTAGTAATATCTATATTGTTAGTTTTATTTTCTTAACTACATAACAGATCTATAAATTTTATTAATAAGGATTATTATAACTGATTTGTGAGAGATAATTACAAATGCGTGATTATTATTACAAATTTATTATTATAAATTTTTTATTATGGCCGTTATTTGAATTTATATTTTCAGTTTTTATAGTATGGTTTATTGTACTATATTGTTTTTAAAATTGTTAAGATTCTGATGATAGGATCAGTTAATCATCTTTGATATGTTTGTTCTTGTTAAATTTAGTATTTATTTAATGCCAATTGTAGACAAAAAAATAATAATAATAATACAAATAGCAAAAGTGTTTCAGATATACGTAATACTAAAACTAATTAAAAGATTTTTTTTTTCTATTGATTTGAAAATTTTTATATTTTTTAAGAAAGAAGGGGATGTTAAGTTTGTTTAATAATATTTACGTACACAAATGGAGGAGGAAAAGATTAATAATAGTATATACAGATACATACAAGGGTAGGGGGTCTTAAAATAGTGGTTTTACTGCATATTTACTTTTTGATATCCACCTTTTTCTTTCTAATAATCTTGTCTCCAGTGACGAAAACCTTTTTGTGCTTATTGCTAATTCAAGCATGTCATAACATGCATAAATGAGCAAAACGAAGGAATACATATATAATAAAATTCCTTTACTGACTCTAAAAACGTTGCTCTATGACATTTGTTATATAATATGTAGCAAGTTAATAATATATGAAAATATATCAACAAAAAATGAGGGTTAGCAAATCTGTATAATTAAATTTGTAATTTACTTGTTTAAAAAAATGTTTTTTTGACTTTTTAATTTATATTAGTCTATCAAATTGGCAACTTTAGACATTTTGCATAGATTGATTTTTAGTTATTAACTTCAGAATACTTATGTGTGTACTTCTAAAATATGAAATAGCTTTCAGTTCCGCAGTTATCGTCATTATTAGTCTAGATTGTAACTTTTAAAATCAGTAGACCTAGACAGTTTTTATTCCAAAAATTATTATAGTTAGGAGTTTATACTTTCAAAATAGAGTTTTAAAACATCTGAAATATTTTCAAAAATAAATAACATAGTATGGTCTAAAACATATTATTTATGATGTCAGCTTTATTTTAAGTAGAATTTTATTTTTATAATAAGATTATAGAAAATAACAGTTAGTATTCTTAATTAAATTGAAGCCCAGTATCAGATGTTAAACAAAGGTCTATTGTTTATAAAATAGTGAAATTTATCATAATTTTTTTTTAAACGTTAGTACACCTCAACTTGGCCTTAAAGGCCGCTAATGTCGAGAGGATACTTTTAACTGTCGTTACAATCCTCTCCTAGCTCTTTAACTCCAAAACAAAAACCTTGCAAACAAGACTGCTACGCGGAGAAATATGTTGAGTTTTGTACTACCAGAAACGTGGTGGGATTATTCGGAACTTTTCGCTTGGCGAGCGCCCTACCACTACGCCGCTATTTAGTTGCATTTTAGGTTTATAACACATGTTAATTTGACTTATATTTTTAGATTTATACTGCATTTTAGGTTAACTTCAAAAAATTTGAATAAAATCCAGCGAAGTTTACAAAAAGATATATTGCTTCAGAAAGGTATTGCATACCTTATGGAATTGAAATATTTTGTAAATGCATTAAAAACCGGAGCCTTCAACGAACACATTCTAGTTAACACAATGCTTAACCATATGAAATCAAGTACACTTTCAGATGAACAGGTAGTTATCGTTTGGTAATATTTAAAATTTATTGATTAAATGTTAAAATTTCATACTATGGAGTGCATACCAATATGTTTGTTTTAGTTTTTAATTTTGTGTTTTTAAAAGTCTTTTTGTATATACATATATATATATATATATATATATATATATATATATATATATATATATATATATATATATATATATATATATATATATATATATATATATATATATATATATATATGTATATATATATATATAAATATATATATATATATATATATATATATATATATATATATATATATATATATGTATATATATATATATATATATATATGTATATATATATATATATATATATATATTATATATATATTTATATATATATTTATATATATATATACATGCATATATATATACATTTATATATATAAATATACATATATGTATATATATATATATATATATATATATATATATATATATATATATATATATATATATATTTGTTTATAGGATCTATAATAAGGGCAAGTCTGAAATTTTGCCTTTTTGGTATAATTCAGTTTTTTAATTCTTTTTTTATAAAGCTGAATTGTTTGCTAAGACCTTTTTGTCAATATTATCTCGTGACTACACTAGTTGCGTTCTACCTGATATAGCCGACAACCAGTTTGATTTATTGCATGACATTTGTATTACTTCAGCTTTTATATCTAACGTGATTTCCTGTTCGGACTCTTTTACAGCTTTGGTCAGGAAAACATACTTGTTATAATCTTTCAAAGGTTTTTTCTGGAGCTGTCATCCATACTTGTAAAAGAATTTAACAAGATTATTAGAGTATTTTAGTGTGCTGGAAACCCGCATCTGTTATCCTTGTTTTGAAAAGTTCTGGAGAGCAATCTGAATTGTCTAACTACATCCGCATTTGTCTTCTTCCTATAATAAGATGAATTTAAAATTGTTAACTAACAAACATCTAATCTCTCTTCTTATATCTAAGCTGATAGATTTTAACGTGCATTAGATAAAGAAATACTGGTTATGTCTTTTGCTTTTGATATTTCTTAATCTTTTGATATAATTTGGGATGATGATCTTCCTCCGTTGGGGAATTTGAAATTGAAAAGGATCTTACTTCTTCTACAGCATAAGACTTACATTGGCTGATGAACTTTAATTCAGATAAAACTCATTTTTTTCAGCCAATTGTAATCGAAATAGTTTAGATCTTCCTATATTTATAAACGATAATGCACTCAATTTGTAGAAAAGAGAAAGTGAAGCAACGTTACAACGAAGTAATAATGGTTGGAGGTATTTGGACTCTTTTCTACTAATGAGTATTTGTAGAAAAGAAAAAGTGAAGCAACGATGTAATAATGGTTAGAGGTTGGCCGCAATAGCAGGTCTAAATATGTTTACAGTGCCTTTTTGCACCTTGTCTAAAAGAGAAAGGGCATCATTTGAAGATGCCCCAGATATGGCACTAGTATTCAGTACAAGGACTCGCTTGAGATTTATACAGATAAAAAATAGAATCCGTAGTAAGAAAGTGTCGAGCTTGATAACGAGATGCAACCTTAGCAGATGCTTTTTTTGCAATGGATTTGATATTCGGTTTCCATCAGAAGTAAATCAAAAAATCAGGAGAGTAAGTTCTAGAAGTTGGAGGGTAGATGACTTATCAAGTATATTATCATTCGTAAATATAGGATGGTCTAAACTATTGCGAAAACGATTGGCTGAGTTAAATTGAGTTTTATCTGAATTAAAGTTTATCAGACACTGTGAGCCCCAAGCTACAGCAGAAGTAAGATTCTTTTCAACCTCAGATACTCCCTCCAAGCCATCAGAAAGTGTTGACTTTTTATCATGACAAGAATAAATTGTAGCGTCGTCAGCAAGCAATGTCTTCTTTGATGTGAGAATATCTAGAAGATAGTTAATTTAAAATAAAAAGAGGGTAGAGCCGGGGATTGAATTCTGAGGAAGCCATGAATATGATATGGAGAGGAGTGCTGAACTTGGAGGACAACTTTCATACAACAATTGGAAATAAAGAATTCAATAATCTTAAAGATGTTACCTGATACACAGTAAGAAATAACTTATTGAGAAGGCCAGCATATCAATTTTTATCAAAAGCTTCAGAAATGTCAAGAACTTTATTCTTTCCATGTCTATCTAATGCACGATAAAACCTATCGGTTATTACTGTTAGAAAATCAGCTGTAGAACTAGAAGATCGAAATTCATATTGATGATCAGAAAGTAAGTTGTTTGATTCAAGATGAGTGATTAAGTATTTGTTAATTAAAGATTTAAAAACCATGCTAATGAAATAAGAATACTAATATGACGGTACTAAGACTATTCAGATTGCTCTCCAGAACTTTAGAAAATAGGAATAACAGATGTCGCTCTCAAGCATTGGCGGAAAACGCGACTTTGATAAGAATTTGTTAACTAGTTTTGAGGTCATATTTTAGCCGTAACAAACGGCTTAAAATATGTCCTTAATTATGCACACCAAAAGTGCGAACAGGAATACCATTTATGCGCAACATGGCACTGTTAGTACTCCGATATTTTTCAGCTGTTGATTGAATCAGCTTCTCTGAGAGCTACTACAGAGTTCAGGAAACTTGACTACCAGTCATCCTCAAGACCATAAAGCTGAGTTATAGAGTTGTAGAGTCTATTTATCCCTTAAGTCTTTGCCTAGAAGACCTTTTACAAGACAATTGCTAGATGCATTTACCATCTGCCTAAGTGATGATGAATATTTTTACTAAAACACCATCTCAAGCCTTTACTCAACCAAGAACCCCTAGGCAGGGGGTGTTTTAAGCTAGATTTGTTATTTCCTAGCCTTAGCCTAAAAAACCGTATCCAAAAAGGCAGCAGGACTGTAGCAGAATGTATTGGGTTACATGTTACCAGTATATACCAGTAGCAGAATAAAATGACCTGACAATAGCGTTTGAACTTTCAAAAACTGTAAATCGGAATTCCTAAAAATTGGTTCATGTAACGGTTGCAGCAAACGTTACGCGAATCAGAATAAACGTTGTGAGAAGGTTTTTTGAACGTTATGTTTTGATAGTGAAAATGTAATTTTTTAGAACATTTATAAGAAGTTCATAGAACGTACTTGAACGTTCGCAACGTTCGTCGAACTTGCTCTCTCAAGTTCGACGAACTTGAGAGAGCAAGTTCGACGAACGTTGGGAACGTTCAAGTACGTTCTATGAACGTTATAACGAAATATTTCTAACCAATCTTTATAACCATTTCGTTATAACAAAATGGTTATAAAGAAAAAATTTCTTTATAACCATTCTCTCGTCCCAGTGTTAACTGGGATGAGAGAATGGTTATAAAGAAATCTTTTTAGTGTGATTTTCCCTGCTTAACATTTAAAATCTCAATTATTAAAGCGAGAAATCTTTCTTGATGATTTTTATTTTAGTTTTTGAAAAAATTACGAAAATAAAAACTCCCTCTCTTCCGCTGTTGTTTTCTGAAAACTCATGCAAGGCTTGCAATAAAAAAAAAACTTTTTTTTTATGACATTTAGCCTCAATTTTAACAATTATAAATTTATCTTTTAGTAAAATAAAATACAATTAGATGTTGAACAAATAGTTGTAAATAGCCCTCCTATAAAGCGCAAAAAATTTTATAAATATCTGATTTACTTCTATAACATTTTGGGCATTTATTGTTTACCGCTTGTAACCCCTTTTTTCTGTAGAAACTTAGATTAAATCTATTTTTTTATATCCATCTTTGTAAAGACGTAAACTTACCTCCAACATATTAGGGATAATATAGAAATAATATAATACAGCTCTGTTTTAACTCATTGAGCACACTCTTGATAGTATATGCACAAAATAGCATCACTACATTAAACGCCTAGGACAGAAGTTAGTTAAGCACTTTCTTGCATCGACTTCTAAAAATGGAAAGTTTAATCTTAACTACGCGTTGAAATATATTCCAATACAAAATGAAACTTGCTACAAAATAAATCTAGTGAAAAAAAGTCTAATAATAAAGTGATGACGTTTTAAAAATTAAATCTAACCCCAACATCCTAATATTTGCAGACAAAACCAACAATATTTACCAATTACCCCACAAAGATTACTCCAAATTAATAAAGAAAACTTTACCGAAAAGCCCCTAAAAAACTTAAAAATTTTATCAACTTCGAAGCAAAAAGCATAGCAACTAAACTAAATAAAAACAAACAAATCAATATAATCGCTAAATCAGAAGCATTCATTACATTAAAAAACCACTATCAAAACCTTGAATAACAAAAACCTTGCCGCCTATCCAGCAAAAAGTAAACTCGGCGTTGTCAAAAAAATATACTTAGAAAATATCAGCCAAAAAAAAATTTAAACTAAACCAATGGAAAATCACCGCAGAAGTAATTAAATGGGTTACAAACATAAGCGACAAGCAACACTGTGTGTTTATACAACTCGACATCAATGAATTTTACCTACCCATCACAAAAGACATACTAAACAACGCGTTAATATTTGCAAAACAGCACACTGAAATCAGCAGTAAAAAAATTCGAGTCATAAATCATTGCAGAAAATCGCTATAACTTTTTAAAAATAACACATGGATAAAAAAGGCGTTTATTGATTGTTTTGACGTCACAACGGGTTGTTTTGACGGAGCTGAAGTATGTGAACTGGTGGGTTAGTACATTCTAGACTCTTCATCCAAAACCATCATTAAAAATAATATAGGTCTTTACCGAGACAACGGATTAATGGTGGTGCTC